CCCACTCACAGTTTTCATCTAGTGCCTCTTACATCAGCTGAATCCAGCAGGAAGGAGAAATAGGCTATGGTACTGAGTTGTCATTTCTACGGCATTAGAGAGCAGCAGGAAAGGGAACAAGATGGATCTCAAAGCAAACAGGAGAGGACCAACTTCCATGTCTACCCCAGATATCAGTATTAGACAGAGTAAAGTGTCTATGAGAAAAAGGGCTGAGAAAAACTCATGAGCTCATTTTTAACAAGTATATTTACTTCTGCGAATCACTCACACCTAAGATGGAAAGCCACTTTGAATCTTTACTTAAGGTCAGAAATCTTTTGCACGAGGCTTTCTCTGGGATTCTGGCTTGGGAGCTACAAAGGCTGAGCCCTGCTCTCTGAGAGAATTTACACGTTGTAAATTCTTCCCCATTTCTTGATAACTTGCTTCCCCCAATCCAGTTATCAAGAGCTTCGCATCATACTATTAATGTAATCTTGTTACTTGTGAACTGTCTGTGTTTGGTTCCATCAGATCTAAGAACACAACATTTTCACCGTAAGTGTTTAATTTTTTCATTAAGAGTAATAGGAGAGGTATTTATTATCCTTTGAAATGATAAACAAATGTTACACTTATTCATTCATGCAACCATTCATCTACTTATTCATTCTTTCAATCACCATTCACCCTGGGCTTTACTGTGCTTTAATATTATTGCATTTGGTCCTTAAGACTCAATAGTGTTTCCTGAAGAAATAAGCAATTATGTTTTCAGGCAATATGAACTGGATTGAAGCTAAACTTAAAGTCAGAGTATTGGTTTCTCCTCTTAGTCTTAATCACTGTCTAGGAAAAAATGTATATATATATATATACATATATTTGCAGCCTGTATTACTGCCTAAATAACACTTTGTAAGGCCTCCATAGAGTGTAAGCTACACGAGGACAAGACCTTTACTTTTTTTCTTCACAGAACCTAAAACAATACTCAGTAGAGAATAGGAGTTTAGTAGACAGTGCAAATTATTAAAACTAAATATTAAAACTATCCTTTCTCTTTGCCATGTAGTATCCCATTGTATAGATAAGCCACATCTTCTTGATCCATTCATCCGTTGATGGACACTTAGGCTTTTTCCATGTTTTGGCTATTGTTGAGAGTGCTGCTATGAACATTGGGGTACATGTGCTCCTACACATCACTACATGGCAATGAAAAGGAATGAAATCTGGCCATGTGTAGCAACATGGATGGACCTTGAGGATGTTATGCTGAGCGAAATAAGTCAGTCAGAGAAGGACAAATATCATATGTTTGCACATATAGGGGGATTAGGAGGAACTTAATTGAGGACCTTGGGGGAGAAGAAGGGGTTAAATTGTTGGGGAGAGGGAGGGAGGCAAACCATGAGAGACTCTTGAATGCTGAGAACAAACTGAGGGCTGATGGGGGTGGGGGGGGGGGAGGGGGGAGATGGGCATGGAGGAGGGCACTTGTGGGGATGAGCACTGGGTGTTATATGGAAACCAACTTGACAATAAACTATTTGTAAAAAAAAAACAATAATAATAAAACTATCCTTTAATGATATTAGAATAAATAAATAAATTGTTAACTACTTTTGAAAGCCTATTTCTTTATTTTTAAGTGATACATGGTTAATTTTTATTGTAAAGACATGAAAACAATATTTCAAAGAGATGTATGCTCTCCCATATTCATTGCAGCATTACTCACAATAGCCAAGATGTGGAAACAAGTTAAATGAACTTCAGTGGATGAATGGATTAAAAAGATGGGGTAGATATACACTGTGGAATATTATTCAGCCATGATAAAAGAGGATATCCTGCCATTTGCCACAACATGAATGGACCTTGAACACATTATGCCAAGTGAGGTAAGTCAGACAGAGAAAGACAAGTACTGTGTGATATCACTTATATGGGGAATCTAGAAAAGCAAACCTTTTTGTTCTTTGATTCGAGGCATTCTCTATACCCAGGGTGTTTCCACAGCTTTAGAACATCTGTTTGATTCAAATGAGAACAGATATTTCTATAGAATAACTTGCTTTTCCATTAAACCATACCATTTATTGGCCACATATTCATTATTGTACATTTCTTTCTTAAAGAGGCAAAGCCGTTCTTCCTTCTGAACATTGGAAGCCACAGCTGAATGAATCAATTTAAAATCTCCAGTGAAGATGTGCTTACATCTTCACAGGGACACAGGGATTGTAATACACAAGGTCACAAAGTAGGAGACTTCACCAGAAAAGTCTGTTTTGTTCTCTTAGCCTTTAAATCATCTTAGAGACCCTAATCTGGTGTCTAAAATCCAAAGTATCTATTATCTCAGACCTTTGTTCATAGAATTCTGGCAGTTGAAAACAATCATGACAAAAACCCCAGAAAACAATCAAGAGAAGTGTCAACATTTAGTACATTCTGTGCTTAAGCTTACTTTGAGGAGATGTACAGAAAAATATGTAATGGTTCTTGTTCTCAGGTGAACTTTACTCTTATATGAAAACCAACACTAGACTCCAGTTAGTTGTCCCTGGGCCAGGTCTGCATTGATTACCTGGATCCCAAGTGCCCCTATTTTAACAGGGAGACTGTGATGTCTTTCTGGTATCTGGGCATCACTACCAACTTGGATCCTGATTACAAGAGTCCTCAAAATGTTTGGGCATTCCCATTCCTCCAGGCCACAAGTACCGAGTAAGTGATCAGAGATCTCCCCAGAAGGAGAAATGGGAAAGCCATTATCATCTCTCCTTATCCCAGAGTAGCCTTGGAATTCTGCTCTCCCTTCCAGGTGTTAGGAGTTTGTGGTCTGAAATTGGCTCACATCAAGGCTAGGGATAGTGACATTTTATGAAGGCTAGAGATAGTGACATTTTATGAAGGCCACCCCTCAGCTTCCTGTTAAACAATCCCTGATTCTGTTTCATTATTTTCGCCCCATCCCTTTTGATTTTATGGGTGCCCTGTTCTATTCACCTTCTTCAAAATTTTCTCTGGTCATCCCCATTTGGCTGTCACTCCAACCATGTTAAGGATAAATGTTTGTCTACTCCCAGAATTCATTTGATGAAATCCTGACCCCCAACGTCCCAATGTGGGTATTGGAAGCAGAGCTTTCGGGAGGCAATTAAGTAATGAGGGCAGGCCCTCATGAAATCTGATTAGTGCCCTTCTAAACAAAGATTCATGAGAGCACTTTCTCCTCTTCCATCATGTGAGGATGCAGCAAAAATGTTAGCCATCTATAAAATAGGAAGAGAGCCTTTGCTGAGAACCCAGCAATGTTGGCTTCCTGATCTTGAGCTTACAGGCTCCAGCACTGGGAGAAATAAACATTTGTTGTCTGCGTCACACAGCCTATGGTGATTTGTTACAGCAGCCTGAGCTAAGACAAACCATGATGCTCATTACTATTGTATGTACTTGGCTTCTGGGTTAAGTGCCAACACTTGGCCTCCATGTGTCAGAGTTTATCTTCCCCAACACTACCAGAGCGTCTGGCTCTGCAGGGCTACATATCCCTTCTGCTCTTCCTACAGCAAAGGGGACAGTAGGGCTTTTAAAAATGATGGAGTTCCAGGGCGCCTGGGCGGCTCAGTCGGTTAAGCATCCGACTTCTGCTCAGATCATGATCTCACAGTTCATGGGTTCATCGGGCTCTGTGCTGACTGCCAGCTCAGAGCCTGGAGCTCTTTCAGATTCTGTGTTTCCCTCTCTCTCTGACCCTCCCCTGCTCACACTGCCACTCTCTCTCTTTCTCTCTCAGAAATTAAAAAAAAAAGAAAACATTTTAAAAAATGATGGAGTTTTTCTCACCAGTGCATATTCTTAATGTTTGGTAATGTGCTTCTAACACCTTAAAAGTGTAATTCAAATATAGGAAGCAGAGGCCACTCTAGCTGAGATTTCAAAGGGCAACATGACAGTTTAAATCTTAGTTTTGAAGTAAATATAAGGGATTAAAAACCAAGGCCAAAGTGAAAACAAGATTAAGATGTGAATTTTATGCATCCTAGTATTCTGATCTTCATCTTATACCCCTCACTGAGCAGGCTGATGCCATTTCTAGAAACAGTGAGCAATTTCATCACCTCATAGCCACTTTCACATTACTTTTATGATTATTGTTATTATTATTACACTCTACATTTTCCATTTATTTATAAAATGGGCATTTAAGGGCCACCTGGGTGGCTCAGTCAGTTAAGCTTCTGACTTCGGCTCAGGTCATGATGTCACAGTTCATGAGTTTGAGCCCCACATTGGGCTCTGTGCTGACAGGTGGAAGCCTGGAGCCTGCTTCAAATTCTGTGTCTCCCACTCTCTCTCTGCCCCTGCTGCACTTGTGCTCTCTTTGTCTCTGTCTCTCAAAAATGAATAAATGTTAAAATAATTTATAAAATGGCAATTCAAGATTTCTTTATAAAAATCAAAAGATAGAGTATATAATGAAAAGCCTGTGTCCCTTCCACCCTGATGCCACTCAGTTCTCCTTAGAAGGAACAAATAATACTAGTTTCTAAAAAATTTCCCTAAGCTATTCTATATGTACATAGGAATGACTGCACAGAATACAATTTTTATGGTGAACACATTATGTACACTGTCTTATATCTTACTTCTTTACAGTATATTTTCAAGATTTTTCTAGGTTTGTACAAATAGAGCTCCACTGTCTATTTATTTACTGACTACATAGTATCCCAGTGTATGCACATGTTAAATTTATATTACCACTTTGTATAGATAGATATTTAATCTCAGCAATCATTTGCCACTTAAAATGATGCCTCGGTGGATTTTGCACATATAGATTTCCTAAAAGTTAACATGCTATATCAAAGTGTACATGCATTTATTCTGTATAATGTGGGCCATCAATACCCTCTCACGGGTACTTTTTATATTTAAAACTTTGCCGAATAAAAGTGAAAAGCATACACATCAAAAAAAAGGTTAGAGTCTATAGTCACATTCTTTAATTTCTTTAAAAGGAGAACTAATTCTTTTTAAAAAGTGAGCTCACACCTCTCACAAGGCTATCAACAATTTTAAAAGGAGAAGTAAATACTGAAATAATCTCACTGCCAAATCTGTCTAAGATTTGTGTAAACCAGGAAGTTTCATTATTTTTAGTATCAATCATATGTTGCAACTGCTTTATCTCTGCATCCATCTCTTCAGATTTCTTTCTAAATCCTTCATTGAGCAGCTCTTCTTGGACCTAAACAAAAAGTGAGAAGGAAAACATTTTGAATTATCATTTCTTTTCTTTTTTTTTTTCAATTTTCATATCTTTATTATTTTTTTTTTTACAAATAGTTTATTGTCAAATTAGTTTCCACATAACACCCAGTGCTCATCCCCACAAGTGTCCTCCTCCATGCCCATCCCTCCTCCCCCCCACATCCATCAGTCCTCAGTTTTTGTCAGGCAGAGAAGGACAAATATCATATGTTTGCACGTATAGGAGGATTAGGAGGAACTTGACGGAGGAACACCGGGAGAAGAAGGGGGGAAATGGTGGGGGAAAGGGAGAGAGGCAAACCATGAGAGACTCTTGAATGCTGATCATTTCTTTTCAATATTTGCACTTTGTATTTGAAAACTGGGTCAAACTATGTTTTACTCCTAAAATTCTCCTTTCTTACTCAAGTGTGAAAGGAGAATTTTGCAATGAGGAATATCTCCCTGGCTTGGACCTACATGTTGAGAGGAAGCATAATTTAAAGCCTTACTAAACATCACACATCGCTAAGGTTTTGCTAGGATGCTAAGCCTGACGTGAAGACAAATGTAACATTTTTTCAGTGAAAAAATGCCAGTTGATAGATAGGCTTGGTCTCATTGCACTAGTTCTCAGTCCCACTTGGATCAGTATGGTCACCCAAATAGTAGAAATGATGGGAACTTATAAGCTGCTCTAGAAATCTGTTATAAATATGTCCGGATGGACAATAAGTGATTTCTTCCCAATGCCATTTGTTAACTTGGGTAGACTATCCACACTTGGGAGACAATACAGTAATTTTAGAAGCTGTCGCTTCACAGAGTGCCTGGGTGGCTCAGTCAGTTGAGCATCCGACTTCAGCTCAGGTCATGATCTCACAATTCATGGGTTCAAGCCCCGCATCGGGCTCTGTGCTGACAGCTCAGAGCCTGGAGCCTGCTTCGATTCTGTGTCTCCCTCTCTCTCTGACCCTCCCCTGCTCACACCGCCTCTCTCTCTCTCTCTCTCTGTCAGAAATAAATAAAATAATTTAAAAAAACCCAAGCAGCTGTCGCTTCCCTGTGTTTTCAAGTCTTTACATTTCTGATAGTTTTATGTCAGCATATATGTCGGGGTCTTTGAGTAGCAGTAGGGTTTCTGATAATTGTCAGTGATCTTGGTGAAGCAGTTGCTACTCATTTTAAATACATATATGTTTAATCAAGCCTCATGAGATCATTTTAAAATCCTCAAATGCTAGTTATAGAGTTTGGAGGGGCCATACTCATCTTGAACTCTCTGGAGTCTTCTGTAGAAGAGTTGGAATTCAGAGGCTTCTATGGAAAAGGAGGGGGAAGAGGAAGAGAAGGTGGAGAAGAAAGGGGAGGGGAGTGGAAGGAGAGGGAGAGGGAGAGAAGAATTCAAAGGATCCAGGGTTCCTTCCATGAGATCATTGTAACCTTCACCCATCCTTTCCTGAGGTACCAGGAGGACCATCAAGCACCTCCAAGGCCATGCGCAGACTCACTTTCAGCTTATGCTCCAACATCATATTCTGTTCTTTTATTATGTTTTCTCTCTCTCTCTCCATCTTCTCTTTCAGTTGATCTATATTTTCCTGGAGACTCCTCTGTTGTGCCTCCATCTGCTGTTGCTGCTCCAGTAGTTTCTGTCTTAGCAGCTCCTGTTCCTTCTCAGCTGCTTCCTTGCTGGCCCTCTCCGCTGACCCCAGGCAAGTTTAGAGAAGGAAGAAAATTAGGTGAGGACTGAACTCTACCTTCTTGAGCTCAGAGACAAAACAAAATTGGAAGGGAAGGTGGAAAATCTCTGAATTCCCTGTGTCCACACCATAGAGAACACATTTCAGAATATTAGTGGAAAGGCCCTATCTGACTGACATCCAACCACAACTCCCCTTGTTGTTTATAGATTGAGCAGAGTTGTTCCACAGAAGGAGAGGAAGCTCCTTGTTTCAGGAAGGCTTTGCACTCACACCAGACAGGGGGACCAACCCAAGCCATTGTGAACCAAGCCCAGCCCCATACCTGCTATGGCCTTCTCTCCATCGGTCAGGGCTTTATCTGCCTGCCAAATGGATTTCTCTATTGAAGCCTGGGATTGTAGAAAGTTCTGGAGGACCTCATTTGCCTGAGAAACCAAGAAGGAGCAAAGAGCTTAGATTTCCAGTAGGGAGATAAGTGCTGCAAAAACAAGTCTGTATGTCCATGACATTTTTGCTGAATTCGTGCTTAAAATTCTATGGTGGCTCCCTACAAAGTGTCCAAGCTCGCTGGTGTGACCAGAGATTCTCCATATCTCCTGCTTCCTGTCTCCTGCCAGGGTCTCCCCCTGTGCTGCTTCCTTCCATCCCCTCTAGGTTCCAGACAGTCAGCACTGTGTTCAGTTCTAAAAATCCACAATCTCTGCTGCTCTGATAGGCCTGCCTTCTCTTTGGGAAATGTTGCCTCTAATTCGTGCTGTTGCTCTCCTCTGTTATTTTCTGGTTTTAACTTTTGGCATTATTTTAACCTGCCTGTGCCTCTCAGTTTAGATCTGTAAAATATTGACAATAAATGCAGATGTTTCATTATGTTATTTGAAGGATTAAGCTAAAGAGTCTAGGAAAACAGCTTTACCTAATTGCTATAAGAAGTAACAGTCCAGGGGCACCTGGGTGGCTCAGTTAAGCATCTTAGTTTGGCTCAAGTCATGATTTCATGGTTTCTGGGTTTGAGCCCCACATTGGGCTCTGTGCTGATGGTACAGAGCCTGCTTGGGATTCTCTCTCTTTCTCTCTCTCTGTCCTTTCTTCCCTCTCTCCCTCCCTCTCAAAATAAGTAAATAAGCTTTAAAAAAAGAAATAACAGAGGCCCCTGGATGACTCAGTGGGTTAAGCATCCGACTTCGGCTCAGGTCATGATCTCACGGTTTGTGGGTTTGAGCCCCGCATCGGGTTCTGTGCTGACAGCTCAGAGCCTGGAGCCTGTTTCAGATTCTGTGTCTCCCTCTCTCTCTGCCCCTCCCCTGCTCATGCTCTGTCTCAAAAATAAATAACCTATAAACAAAAAATTTTTAAAAAGAATGAAATAACAGTCTAATATATATTAGTTTTATTATTATTATCATTATTTTTAATTATTAGTTTGTTACCACAACCTATGTAGGCCATTTGCATTTGTTTGTTTGTTTGTTTGTTACTCTTTTTTGAGTGTGGTTGATACACAATGTTACTCTAGTTCCCAGTGTAGAGAATAGTGATTGGACTGGCTTCTACTAAGCTATGTTCACCAAAAGTGTAGCTACCATCAGTCTTGCTACATTGCTGTTACAATACCTACAATATGGTTGACTGTACTCCTTATGCTGCGCCTTTCATTCTCATGACTGATTTACTACATAACTGGAAACCTGTACCTCCCACTCCCTTTCACCCATTTTGCCCATCCATTAATCCCCCTCCCTTCTGGCAACCATCAATTTGTTGACTGTATTTACAGGTAAGATTCTGCTTCTTGTTTGTTTATTCATTTGTGGGCTTTTTTTTTAGATTCCACTTATGAGCAAAATCATATGGTATTTGTCTTTCTCAGTCTGACTTATTTCACTTAGCATAATATCCTTTAGGTCCATCTGTGTTGTCTCAAATGGCATGATCTCATACTCCTTATGGCTGTATAATATTAAGTCGTATGTAGCCTATTTTCATAGGTTGACATGTGTTATAACTTTGTATGCAATTATCTGTATATTTGATTTTATCTATTTTGATCATGCTTAAGTACAAAGACTCTGAGTTTAACTTGTAAATTGTCAACACTTGGCATATTCAATGTCATGTGGTTAAAGGAAGAAATGAGTAATTTCTATCTTGTGTGGATATCAGAAGCCCACACTCATTTCTTGGGAATGGGCATTTCTACTCTCCTCAGGAATAAATAACAAATAGTGGACTTTAAAAGCTAAAGCTGTCCTGATATCCCCATGCTGTCTTATCACCCACAGCTGGTGCTATGATCTCAGGTTTTCAGGAGGCCCCTTGAGTCTCTTCTGTAGGCTTCCCATGCTCCCCTTTTTTCTCACCTTCACTCCTTTCCTGGGCACTTGCGAATATTTCCATTCAATACTTTCCTTTGCTTCCCTGTAGAGCCTGTACCCTCCAGGAACAGAAAATTTTCCTATGGAAATACTTTCCATTAGGTCCTTTGAAAGCTGATCAAGCATAGACTGGCAGTATTTAACTGATGCCTCTTCATTCTGCTGCAAGAATTGTTGGTTCTTATCCTGTATGATTTCCTACAAGGGAAATATAGAGAGATGTCACCAGAAGAAAGGAACAGAAAAGACAAGATTCCAAAGAATCTGATAGGAGGATTGATCTAACTGTAGTCCTTGTGAGAAAAGCATTCTGTCGGAAAATGACATGGAGTAAGACAGGAATCACAAGACCTGATTTACTGACAACCTTGAATACTCCCTGCAAGACTATGGGAAAGTTTCTTAACCTCCCTAGTTCTTCTGAAATGTTGGAGTTGTATTAACTAATCTCTATGGTTCCTCACAGCTGTAGCATTCAGTGATTTTATCTTCAATGATACAGTGATACAACAAGGAGCAATGCAAGTTGAACATGGCCTGGAATGAGGGTCTGGTAAGAGTAAGTTTGCTTCCTGACAAAGGGAATGTGTTCACAGAAAGCATCCATGCCCAGGAATGACTTTTGGGTGTTCTGGGCAGGCTTGGAATCCATAGAAGTATTCAGATCAGGGGATATCTGTACTGATTTGCTTCAGAAATCAGAGATTTCTAGGTAAAGTGCCTCAGTTTGGGAGGAAAAAAGAAAGAAGGAAATGTAGTCCTTTGAAACTCTCCTCATGAGAATCCAGATTTGTTTTATCCTTGAGTAAGAGATGAGAGCCATGGGGTCCATAAAGGTTTCTAGGCTTAATTCTTCAAAGGGAAAGGTCCCACAGAGTAAATAGGAAGACAAATTACCACAAGCTTCTTCTGGAACTCCTGATTTTCATCCTTGAAGGAATGCTCCATGAAGACTGCAATGGCTGCCCTCTCACAGTCCGCATGCACATCCAGCAGCTCCTGGAGTGTGTCTGTGGGGAACCTCACTCGCTGGGCCATCTGCTCGCTGTAGTGGTCGGCTGCTTTCTGCACGGCCACTGAGTTCTCAAGCTGGGCTAGAGTTGTCACCGCATTCTCCAAACAAGGCACTGCTCCAGTATTGATGGTATCCACGTAGGTCACCACCAGAGTCTTCAGCCCTGAATGAGCCAGGATATTGAAGGGATAAATATCAAATTATCACCCCACAGGATTCCAGATTTTGAGTCTACGTTTCCAAAGTCACGCACATGCACACACATCCGCCCACAGGAGCCTGGCCTCCTTCTATCTTCACCTTTGTTTTGTTATTGACTCTTAATTTTTATGGTTTTCCAGGCCACACAGCTAAAAATATTTAAAAATCTACCTTCATCTAACATACTAAAAGGGTATCTGGAAAATATAATTTTCTATTAAAACATTAAAAGCAAAGTAGATTATATAGTTAGACAGATGAGGCAAGGTAAATCAGATTATATTTATTTCTAATTCTGAAGCTTCCAATGGATTTTCACTGATTGATAGGCTACTATTTATTTGGGGAATGCTCTAAACTTCTAAAATATTTTGTATATTCTCTTGCAAAACACTTATCAGATAGGACTTCCCTTGAGGGAAAAAAAAACCCACACAGTATATTCTGTGTTTGTTTTATGTTTTTTGTTGTTGTTGTTGTTGTTGTTTTTAAGTAGGCTTCACGACTGCATGGAACCACAATATGGGGCTAGAACTCACAACCCTGAGATCAGGACCTGAGCTGGGATCAAGAGTTGGACATTTAATTGAGTGAGCCACCAAGGCACCCCAGTATATTCCGTTTTTATACCTAGTTATTGTTTTTGTGTTTTTTTTAACGGTGAAGGATTCTTTCATATAGTGGATGCCATAGATATCAGTGACAAAGTGTGCAATATTGGAGAGGGGTTTGTAGAGCCTCAAAAGTGAGATAATGATAAGATACACACATCTCTTCATGGAGCGTGAATGTGTGTATACCCAGAAATCCATAAAGAATCAAACAAAAATGTTGAAAAACACATTATATAATATACTCAACATATATTAAGCCCCATAGAAATGGTGGAAAAGGAGACTCACGATTCCCAGTGACCACGACTCCCTCTCGGAGAGTCTTGGTCCTTGCTTGGGTGAAGATGTAAGAACAAAAATTGTTGGCTTGTATCTGGAATTTAGGATCCAGTTGATTTTCATGTATATTCTCAATATTGGCTAGGAGTTTTATGTCATTTGTTGGCCGGTCAAAGACAAAACATTTCCGTTTTGGAAAGAAATGCCTGATGCATTCTCTGGGTAGATTGGATGCTTGGATTCTGGGATTCTTGCCTGAGGGATAAGAACAACAGAGATTATTGTGGGAACAGTCTTAATGCAAGAGAGCTAAAGTTTTTTTGTTTTTTTGTTTTTGACAGAGAAAGAGAGAGCGTGCAAGTGGGGGGGGGGGGGGGGAAAAAAGAGAGAGAGAGCATCCTAGGCAAGCTCCATGCTCAGCACAGAGCCTAATGCACGGCTCAATACCACAACCCTGGGATCATGATCTGAGCTGAAGTCAAGAGTCAGACGCTCAACCAACTGAGCTGCCCAGGTGCCCCAAGGGAGCTAAAGGTTTTTATGACCAGTATTTTAATTCTTTATTGTCTTCTATGGTTACAACACCTTTAACATAGACATTCAATACTTCTTTGTACAGCAAAGTCACGCTAATGATATAATACTGGAGGGAAATTGGGAGAGACCTCTGATCCAGGTAAAAGAAATCCATGGCCAGAACTCTAGCCCTGAAAATGGTAGTGCAGTTATAATTAGGTGTTTACTGAATGAATGGTTAAAAGAATGAAAGGTCAAATGGAACTTTTTGGTCTAATGTAGAAATTGAGCTGTGGGACCAAGAAGAGCCACAATCAAGGGACAATGGAGCAATATTAGGAACAACAGTATTTGGCATATTAGGACACTCTGGTTATTTAAGGAGAACTGCTTTGATGCTAAAAATGATTCCTACGATGTTAGCTTAAAAACCTCTGAAGAGTAAATGTAACTAAAATGTAATTTTACATTTTAGAATGTCAACACTACTCTACAAACTTCTTGAGGTAAAGGACCACATTTGATTTAACAGCCTGGCTCTTCTGCTTAGAGAGTCTCTCATTAAATGTTTTGAGAATATATAAGTAGAAAACTGAAAGAGGCACCTGAGTGGCTCAGTGGTTGGGACTCCGACTTTGGCTCAGGTCATGATCTCGTGGTTTGTGAGTTTGAGCCCCATATCAGCCTCTGTGCTGCCAGCTCAGAGCCTGGATCCTGCTTCAGATTTTGTGTCTCCCTCTCCCTTCCCACACTCATGCTCTCTCTCTCTCTCTGTCTCTCAAAAATGAATAAATGTTTAAAAAAAGAAAAATGAAAGCAAGAATGGATAAATCAGAATTGATATTTTTCTCAAGGTTTAATGAAATATACATCATTATAAATGTAATCCATTAAAGTAATTTATCATTTCAGAATTATAGCATGGATAAATATGTGGGAATTAAGAGAAAATTATGATATAGAAAGTAAGATGAATGTTCTGATAATTACTAGAAATACTGAAAAGGCATAGTTTGAAAAGACATGCTTCTTCTTCATGTTTATCTAGAACACAGTCATTTTTATATGTGATGTATTCATTAGACATTAGAAAATTATATCCTTCTTTGAGAAGATTAATATCTAACTGTGTGAAGTATGTTTTTTATTGAAATATGTTGTATATACAGTGATACATTATTTTTCCCTGTAGTTTCACAAGGGGCTGGTCAGTTATTTTCTTCAACCCAGAAAAACAGAAGCAAAAATAAGGTCCATGTATCTGGTCTTTGCAAAGTTTAAGCACCCATTGTAATCTGGTAGCTAAATTAGCAATTGATTAAAGAACAAATCAGTTTTGAATAATTTCACTCTAGCCTAGGCTCTGCTTATCTTAAGTGAACTTAAACTCCAGTCCCTGGAGCTTTTCAACCCACCTTCAAGTCACCAATTCTGTAGACTTCAGTCTAGTCTTGAACACAAATGCAACCTCAAAGATAACGGTCTGTGTTTAGGAGCTCCCACCCTCTATTGGACCATCCACTGCCCAGGCCATGCTCTGCTACCTGGAATCAGCTTCAAGGCATTCTCCAGGTACTCATCTTCTGTGATAGGATGATCATTTAACTTCAGCTCCAGGGTGAAATCCCGCACAGTCCAGATAAAGTCTGGAAAGAAACTCACAAACTCTGTAGAATCTTCTATTCCATCCTCTTTTGGAGAGGACTTTGTCCTGATTAGTTCTGTGAGCTCTGTCACATAACTAGGGCTCAGTTAAGGAAGAAGAAGTTTGTACCCCAAGTTCCCACATTTCTCTAACAAAAATTTATGATGAACACTTCCTTTTGCCCTGGGTCCCCTTGAGTCCACCAGAGGCAACTAAGTGGCAGGGAAGGAGAAACTTACTTGATCTCTGTTCCCATAAACCTAATGAAACATAGTGCTTTGTTTCCTGAAAAGGATACTGGAGCTGCTCCAGCGCCTGGTGGTTGATGGTGCCCAAGCTGTTGTAGACAAAAGTGCTGCACAGAAGCACAGCCAGGGCAAAGATCCAGGAGTCATTCTTAGAGTCCCCCTACAAAGCACATTCGAGCAAGAGTTTTAAGACATAGCTCTTTAGAAATGTATTCAGACACTTACTCTATTAGTCTTTCATTTATTATTTCAGCTAATGTACTTGCCATGCAAAGAAATAACTTTGAAGATAGACGTAAAAACTGATAGCAACTTTGACAATTACAAAGACGTTCCTTGTGATTGTGATTTTTTTCGTATATACAAAGATTCTCATCTTCACAGAGCTTTCTTTTTCCTCAATTAGAGAACACAAAGGAACATAGATAGAAAAACTACTACATTACCTGATACGCAATTAGGTATTCAATGGTGAGGGTTAGCATCTATTTATTTTATATATAGCTATATAAGATATACCATAATTCCCATAACCGGGGATTCAAATAATATTCAATTAAATTCAACAAATATTTGTTGGAAGCTACTGAATGCTTCCCACTGTTCTTATATTTAAAAAGCAAACTTAAAAATGGCAACTATTACTTTCAAGATGACTATGTCAAAGTGGTACTAAATATCTATAACAACAAATGTAACAAAGATGACAATATGTAAAGTTTGAGTCACCTTACATCTTAGTAAGGTACGTAAGTGGTGAAACCTATAGCCATTCTATTAAATGAAAATTTAGAATTTTATCAAGGAAGAGCTGAGCTATGAAAGTTAGAGAAAGAGTATATGTTATGAAGGCTTACCGGAAGTCGTGAGCTGAGTGTTCAAGAATTGGTAGAATATAGACATAAAGAAACACAGAATCAGTTTGTTCTCAGCAGGTCTGATTCTGTTTTTTGTTTGGTAGTTCGTGTGTGTGTATGCGTGCGTGCCACGTGCATGCGCACATGCTTGCATGTTTTTAGATTCTGTATATGAGTGAAATCATATGGTATTTGTCTTTCTCAGTCTGGCATATTTCACATAGCATTATACTCTCTAGGTCAATCCATGTTGTTGCAGATGGCACAATCTTATCCTTTTTATCTCTATGTGATATTCCATTGTGTATATATACCACATCTTCCTTATCTATCTGCCTATTAATGGACTCTTAGGTTGCTTCCATATCTTGTCTATTGTAAATAATGCCACAATAAACATAGGGGTGTGTATATCTTTTTGAATTAGGGTTTTCATCTTTGGGAGGGGAGTAAAACGTAGTAGAATTATTGAAACATATATCTAGTTTTAACTTTTTGAGAAACCTCCATACTGTTTTCCACAAATAAAATAACTAATAAAAAATAAATAAACACAGAATTTCTAACTCTGCTTTGGGCAGAAATGGAGAGCAACAGAAATTTAGATACCATTTCCAAATAAGTCTCAAAATAAGGCACAAAAGGAGAAATAATTCATTTCACCCCTTAGTAGAAACCTAAAATACCAAAAATCTATCTGAAAAATGTCTGTTATAGACCAAACACATGCTCTTATAGAACCAGCATATTCAGAGGTATTTTAAAGCCTTCTAGAATCCTCTTTGGGTAGTTCACCACAGGAAATGTAAACCTTACTCTTAACTCCAAACCTCAAATACACATTTCATCTGAAGATAAATCAGAAATATTTCCTGGAGCACCCGGGTGTCTCATTCAGTTCAGTGTCCAACTTCAGCTCAGGTCATGATCTCATAGTCTGTGAGTTCAAGCCCTGTGTTGGGCTCTGTGCTGATAGCTCAGAGTCTAGAGCCTGTTTCAGATTCTCTCTCTCTCTCTCTCTCAAAAATAAATAAACATTAAAAATTTTTTAAAAAAAGAAAGAAATAGGGGCGCCTGGGTGGCTTAGTCGGTTAAGCGTCCGACTTTCGCTTAGGTCATGATCTCGCGGTTCGTGGGTTCGAGCCCCGCGTCGGGCTCTGTGCTGACTGCCAGCTCAGAGCCTGGAGCCTATTTCAGAGTCTGTGTCTCCCTCTCTCTCTGACCCTCTCCTTCTCACGCTGTCTCTCTCTCTCTCCTACAAATAAATAAAAATATTAAAAAAAAAAAAAAAAAGAAAGAAAGAAATATTTGCTCTCCTGGGAGGGAGCTGATGTTTCTCCTCTTTTTTGCCAAGGCACCCTTATGCTTAATAGTCTGTGGTACAAACTATGGTGTGCTGCCTGGATCACCTTATAAGATTGAAAGACTTGTTCTCCCAGCTAGTGGAAGTGCTGATGGAAGACAGCTCTCAGGTGCCACTGCTTTTAATTAGAAAGGATTCCAGAATATTCTTTCAGTGATTTATCAGTACTCTAACTCAAGATAACTGAAAAGAGCCATCCCAGCCACAGAGCTCCCATGGAACTGACAGAAGTCAGTGATTTCACTGCTGTGCAACTTTTTCCTGTCGCCAGCTTGCTTCTTTCTCAATCACATTTTATTAAATCTGACTGCATATGTGGGGTCTTCTCAACTGGACTGTAGATGCTTTAAGGGCAGGACCTTTACTGTGGTGATAAATATCTACAGTACTAAGCCAAGAGACTGCCATTCAGCTATTCAATAATTATTCCTTAAATTTAATCAAAGAATTCACCCTGGGCCAAGAAATAAAAGATTTTATCTAATATACCATATCTTACCTAGAAGTGAGATTCAAACAAACCAGTATGCCTCATTTACTATAGTTGGATTTCTAGATTTTGCAAAGAGATCACAGCATTTAAATTACAAAATATCATCAAGGGGTAAGGGGCAAATCCAGAATAAAAAGGATTTATGTGTGACCCTCTGCCTTACCTTTTCCACATCACCCAGGCCCTCGGTATCCAGAAGGACCAGGGTGTGGTTTGGCTTGGAGGGATGAGGCACACACCACATCCAGATGCCCTTGGTTTTAGACTGCACTGTGGAGCCCAGAGGGAAACCTGCAAGGGGAGGGGAGAAGGCAACATACAGTGACAAGAGACAATCTAAGCAGCCAGTGGGTCACAAAGTCAGACTTCCTGGAATGTAAGTGCCCAGCACTACAAGATGGCTCTTTCTTGAGTTCCTCAAGAATGTCCTACTTTGTGTGTCATCTGTTTCAAGGAGGAAGGGGCATTAACCATGAGAATGATGCCAGGCAAGGGCTCACGATGGAGACAAAGAGGCATTCATGATTCAGAAAAGAGTGGAGATCAGTGATAACCATAACAGGAGCATTTTGAAAGAAGGGTGAGATGCAAAGCCAGAGAGCAGTGGATTAAAGAGAAAGGTGGGAGAAGAAAAAGTGGAAAAAGTAAATTGAAATAATATTTTTGCCAAAGTGATTTAAAAAAAGAGGGGAGGAGGTTTCGTAGCTAGAGTGAGGGGTCCTAGATGAGATGGTTTCCTCACCTAGGAAAGATTTTTAAGATGATGGATGTTGCAGGATCATTGAGCACAATAGTCAAGAAAGAATTCTTGAGGGGGTACCTGGGTGGCTCAGTCGGTTAAGTGTCTGACTTCGACTCAGGTCATGATCTCACAGTTCATGGGTTCAAGCCCCGCATCAGGCTCTGTGCTGATGGCTAGCTCAGAGCCTGGAGCCTGTTTTAGATTCTGTATCTCTCTGTCTCTCTGACCCTCCCCTGCTCACACTGTCTCTCTCTCTCTCTCTCTCTCAAAAATAAATTTTAAAAAAATTAAAAAAAAATAAAAAATTATTGAGAAGTTTTATGGTGCATCTTAGTAAGTTTATTCATGTAACATGGGGACAGGACACAGGGACAGAAAGAGTCACTTTTTTGCTGTGTGAAGTTGATGGGTATATGCTTAGTGTTCAAGAGGGAGGGGACATGCAGGGAGCATGAGATCATAAATGTTTCTTTGAGTTTCTGCTCATAAAACTACTTTCACAAGATTTTCTGGGGCTTGTCATTCGGTTCAATATTAACAGTTGGTAAGATGGACAGGTAGTCATGAAACCCTTTAAGAATGTAGCAGCAAAAAATAAATGTAGCAGCAGCACATATTTGATATTTATCAGAACTAAGTAGGCTATCGGTCAGCCTTCTGGGCTAACCATGAACATCTTTCTGATTCTGTCTCTCCTCAATAGATATTCAGACATCTTTAAATGTTGATGAGAATATCCCATAAAAAAGCAAATGTGTTTCAAGAGATAAAGGCCATACAGTTATAAGAGCCTAGTACTTGATAGGGTAAAAGAAGGTAGGACCCTGAGCATTAATTACCAGGAGAGATTTTCCTTAAGAGTAGTAAAACCGTATGATAACAAATTACCATAAGAGTAATTTAGTGGTGAGGATTAGAATTGGAGGGGCGCCCGGGTGGCTTAGTGGGTTAAGCGTCCAACTTTCGCTTAGGTCATGATCTTGCGGTTCGTGGGTTCGAGCCCCGCGTCGGGCTCTGTGCTGACTGCCAGCTCAGAGCCTGGAGCCTGTTTCAGTCTGTGACTCCCTCTCTCTCTGACCCTCCCCTGCTCACGCTGTCTCTCTCTCTCTCTCTCCTAGAAATAAATAAAACATTAAAAAAATTTTTAAAAATTAAAAAAAAAGAGAATTAGAATTGGAAACTATTTGTAAAAAAAAGAAAAAGAAAAAGTAAATATACACTAAGGATCTTAAAAAAAAAAAAAAAAAAGAATTGGAAGGTTGTTTATTGAGAGGAGTTTATTTCTCCTTTCTTGTGACCAGGGAAGGAAACTAAGGATCTGAGATATAGCTAGAGTTAACCAATTGGCCCCAGACTCAGTACAACACTCACCTCTGTTCTGTCCTGCAAGACGGTTCATCAAGTAGGATTTGCCTGTACGATACAGCCCTACAATGGCCACTACCACTACTGGTTGAGAAATCTTTTCAAGAATCTGTATCGCTCTCTGGTTCACTGACAGCTGCATATTGTTGTTTTCCACCAGACAAATGGGGTTCATCATATTGGGTCCAGATGCCATGGCAACCTGCCAACCTAGAAAAGTCTCCTAGTAGAAAGAAGATTACAGTGTCATTCTCTGACTTAGAGTTATCCAAAGCATCCATCAATATAGGACTATGTGAAACTTCTGTACTTTCTATGGGACAAAATGTAACCTAGAATTAGCAGACTGCAGAGGGCTTCCTTTATTATTTCCACAAATCTCTGATGATATTAGTGATGAAACACAGGGTATTCTCCAAAGTTTTGCTTCAGTAGTAATAATAAAATTCAAGCAATTATTACTATGCACTGAGGGCCTACAATATACCAACCCCTGTGACACAAACCCAGCCTCATCAATACTTCCAAGAACCTACAAGTTAGCAATTGTTGTGCCCACTTTGCAAAGAAGATAAATGAGTCTCACAAAAGCTGAGTAAGTTATAGAGCCAGGATTAAGCCTAGACAATTGAGCAAAATGGCAAGCTAGGAAGCTCTAAGTTCTTGTTTCCCTAGGAAGATATCAAAATAATAAAAAAATATTGGCTAGAATACCTTATAGTAGGTCTATGAAAACAGTCAAAGGTCTAAAACAACCGAGCAAACATGTAATCAAGAAAATGCCACATTAAAAATGGTAGGAAATTCTGTGGTGTTTTTGCTTATCCTTGGCCCACACACTCCCCGGTGTGCTATAGTCTTGGTCTGGAAGGGGTGGTAACCCAGTTCCCACTTTTCTCCCTTGACCCAGAGGGAACAGAGCAGGCTTTGCTCACAGTGTTCTAACCTGTCAGGGGGCTACCTCTTCTGGTCTCTGTTTCATCTCACATGGATCTCGGGCAGGGGCAGAGGTTGGGGATGTAGTGGTATAACTTGTATGTCAGATGGAAAGAAGCATTGGCATTGGTTTCATGGTTGTTGCTCATGAAAATTGCAGAGAGATGGATGTGCAGATGCCTGGGGCAAAGGATTACCAGTAAAGACATAAAACAGATCATCTTAGGGAATAGTTCAGTTCATATCTCCCTCCTTTAGACTGGATAGAGCAGAGCAGGCTGAGTTTATAATGTTATAATCTGTGCCAAGCTGCCTGAAAGACTTCACCTAACTGGGATCTCTGGAAGGGAGAAGCAATGAGCATTGTTTGGGAAAGCTGCTGGAGACAGATGGGCAGACCCCTCTGGCAAGATATTATGAGTGTGTGATATTGTGATCTATGATAAGAAGTATATATTTGGCCTTTGTCCCTGCTCCTGACACACAGCTTCCAAAACACCTTTAATTTCCCAAGTGATGAAATATCTTTTGTTATAATATTTGGTCTTTTGTCTTTGGTTCTTAAAATAGCCCCCGGGTAAAGAAGGTGAAAGAAGTGTCCTTTGTCATACATAACAAGCAACTTTCAACCACACCCAAGTTTACAAGACTTTGAAGATCCCCCAGAAAACCACCCAGGCTGGTTGCCTGGGGAACAAACCATGTGACTAGGAAGTTAGAACCTTCAGCCTCATCTCCCAGGGGAGGGGAAAGGAGGACTGAAGGTTGAGCTAATCACCAGCAGGCAATGATTTAATCAAGTGTGCCCACTTATTGAACACTCAACCATTGCTGAAAGGGTTTAAAGAGCTTCCAGACTGGTGAACATGTGTAGGTGGTCAGAGACTAGTGTGCCCAGAGAGAACACAGATGCCCCACACCCTTGGTACCTTGCCCTGTGCAGCTCTTTTGTCTTGCTGTTCCTGGATTATATCCTTTTTTTTTTTTTCCTTCTTTCCTTATATTCTTTCTTTCTTTCTTTCTTTTTTTCTTTCGTTCGTTCGTTCGTTCTTTAATTCTTTTGTTCTTTCGTTCTTTCATTCTTTCTTTTTTATAAACCAGTAATCTAGTGAGTAAACTCTTTTTCCTGGGTTCTATAAATTATTCTACCAAATTATTGAGCCTGGGGTAGGGATGGCAAACATAGCCAGTCAAAAGCACAGGTGACACCCTAGACTTGTGATTGGCATCTGAAGTAGGGCCAGCCTCATGTGACAGAGCCCTTAACCTGTAGGGCATGCACTAACCTCAGTTTGTGTCAGAACTGCTTAGTGTGGAAAATTGCCATCCATGTGGTGACCAGAAGTGAAGTATTGAGAATAGATTGTTGAGAGGACAAGTAGAATGTTTTCCTTTTCAGGATGAAGACAAACAATAGACCATCAATGTCCCCAATGGGAGATCCTGAGGGAAATTGAGACATTTAAAAGCAGCATGTATATGAGAAAATTGAAAAAGCCACATTCAAGCTCAGGCAAGATGCATGCTCAGAAAAGACATGAAAAGATTTTAAGGTTTCTCCCTAGGTTACTCCTAAGGCTCAAGACCAAGACTCCTCTAATTAGCAAAAGATTTCCTTGGCACAAAACCAATATGCAAAAAAATGGAAAAGGTGGCTACTTCTATAAATGACCAATTTTCAATAGCAACAACAGAAATCACAACGCATACAGAGAAATGGGAAAATATGGCCCATTCAGAGGAAGTAATTTGAGTAAATGTGGCAGAAAACATCCCTGAAGAAACACAAACATTGCATGTGTTCTAGGCAAAGACTAAAGTAATTTTCTTAAAAATGCTCAAAAAGCTAAAAGAAAACACAAAGAACTAAAGTAAGTCAGGAAAATGATATATAAACAAAATTAGTCCAGTCACAGTCACATAAAGATAGACACATAGACCAATAGACTAGAACAGAGAGACCAGAAATAAACTCTCCTATATGTGGTCAAACAATGTTTGACAGACATGCTGAGATCATTCAATGGGGGAAGCACAGTCTTTTCAACAAACGGTTCTGGGTAAACGTGATATTCACAAACAAAAGAATGAAGTTGGATCATTACTCTAACACCTTATACAAAATTTAACTCAAAATATATCAAAGACTTAAAACATAAGAGCTAAAACTGTAAAAACTCTTAGAAGAAAACACAAGAGAAAACCTTCATGACACTGGATTTGACAATGATTTTTTGTATATGACACAAAATGCATGATCAAAATATGAAAACATGGTAAATGGGACTTTATCAAAATTAATAATATTTGTGCATCAAAGGACAGCATCAACAGAGTAACAAGGCAACCACAGAGTAAGAGAGAATAACTGCATGTCACATATCTGATAAGAGATTAATATCCAGAATCTGTAAGAACTCTTACAACTCAGTAATAACAACAGAAACAATGCAGTTCAAAAACGGGCAAAGGACTCAAACAGACATTTCTCCGGAGAAGATATACAAAGAGCCAAGAGATGCATGAAGAGATCTCAACATCATTAATCATTATGGGAATGCAAATCAAAACCACAATGAAGGACAATTTCCCACCCATTAAGGTGGCTATTATTTAACAAAATGAAAACAAAAAGAAACACCCAGCAAACAACCAGTGCTGCCCAAGATGTAGAGAAATTGGAACACCTGTACATTGCTGGTAGGAATATAAAATGGTTACAACCACTGTGGAAAACCCTATGGTGGTATCCCTAAAAGTTGAATATAGAATTACCATCTGATCCAGCAATTCCACTTCAGAGTCTATGTACAAAAGTATTAAAAGCAGGGACTCAAACAGATATTTGTACACCAATGTTCATAGCAGCAGTACACACAATAGCCAAAAGGTGAAAATGTCCATCAAGGGATGGATGGCTAAACAAAATGTGGCATATACAGACAATGGAATGTTTTTCAGCTGTAAAATGAATAAAATTCTGATACATGTCACAACCTCGATGAAGCTTGAAGACTCCACTTATTTCTAAGTGAAATAAGCCAGACACAAAGGACAAATATTATATGATCCCACTAATAAGAGGTACCTAAAATAGTCAAATGCATAAAGACAGACAGTAGAATAGTATTTACCATGAGCCCAGGGGAGAGGGTATGGGGAGTTATTGCTTAAAGGCTACTGAGTTTCCATTTGGAATGATAAAAATACCTGGAAACAGATGGTAATAGTTGCACAACAATGAGAATGTATTTATTGTCACTGAACAATACTCTTAAAATGATTAAATTGGGAAATTTTATATTAAATATACATATATATTTTTAGAAACATAAAACCCAGTCATTTATTACCTTAATAAGATCACAAATACAAAAGAAAAAATAACAAAAATGGGAAGATAGCAAAATGGAAGGAAATAGAGCAAACTTAGTGAAACTGTTAAGGTGAGCAGAATTAGAAAAGACCAGAAAGTAAGATCTAACAGCTTGGTAGGGTTACTAGAATAAAGATTATTCACACTTGTTGGGATGAGCACTGGGTGCTGCATGGACACCAACCTGACAATAAATTATTTAAATATATTTTTATCACAGTTTTAAAGTTTTTAAAAAGCAACCCTGGACAGTCTGTTTCTCTGTGGCATACTACTGCAGCCACTTACTGGACAGAATATTCTCCCTCTAAAGACATTGATTATCCTGTACGTTCCCTTATCTGTAACCTATGGTAACTTTCTCATCATCATCACATAACAAAATGTGCTTTCGTGTGACCCATGTGTTCAACTTTTATCTACAGATTGACAAGTGTTGGGAGAGGAATGAGGTCAGTCTAGAGAATGTAGCCTCCCTTTCAACAAGGGAAGGCAGGAGAATGTCCTGAATCTTAAGAGATACAGGCTAAACTACTTAGCTGAGAGGGTTAGGTTTTCTGCAAATTACTCCTATGAATGAACATAAAAGTTAAAATGTAAATGTCATTTTATATTATATAGGCAGACATATATATATACATATATATATATACACACACACACACATACACACACATATATATATATGAGAGATAAAGCAAATGTAGCAAAATATCACCAGTGGATAAATCTAGGTGAAAGATATATGGGATTCTCTTATAATTGCTTTTCAAGGTAAAGTTTAATATAAAAAATTAAATATTAAAAGTGCAACTTTGGTCTCCTGGCATATTTTTTATTGCATTATATTCAAATGTTTTTTTATGATATTGTGGAGTTGTATAAAACGTCAGGACATACGAGGCTCCATTTTGAAGCTCCATTTTCTTTTCCTAATAATGAACTCTTTAACTGGGCCAGACTGGCAATAGTTTTCAAGCAATTGCTCATAAAATTTCAACAAAGCAACTGGCATTTGGCTCATATGAAGATAGTAAAGTTAATACATACCAGAGACAGTTTCATGTGATAGCACCAATAACATTATTAACAAGATAGTAATCAGAAGCAGCTCAACCAGTCAGCACAAAATTATTTTTCCCCCTCTTCTTTTCTAAATCATATAATTACCCCTTCCTTATTTCTCATAAAAAGCCCTTGCTTTTCCCACATGAGCAGGACACTTTTCTGGTCACTGTAGAATCTGTGCTCCCCAAAAAATGAACTAGGGGTTCCTCATCAAGACAAAATCTTCTGCACTGCAAAGGAAACAATCAATAAAACTAAAGGACAACCGAAGGAATGGGAAAAGATATTTGCAAATGACATATCGGATAAAGGGTTAGTACCCAAAATCTGTAAAGAACTTACCAAACTCAACACCTGAAAAACAAGGACTCCAGTGATGAAATGGGCAGAAGACATGAATAGACACTTTTCCAAAGAAGATGTGCAGATGGCTAACAGACCCATGAAAAGATGCTCAACATCACTCATCATCAGGGAAATATAAATCAAAACTACACTGAGATACTACCTCACGCCAGTCAGAGTGGCTAAAATGAACAATTTAGGAAACAAGAGATGCTGGTGAGGATATGGAGAAATGGGAATCCTCTTGCACTGTTGGTGGGAATTGGAAATGCAAACTGGTGCAGCCACTCTGGAAAACAGTGTGGAGGTTCCTCAAAAAATTAAAAATAGAATTAGCCTATGACCCAGCAATAGCACTACTAGGACTTTATCCACAGGATACAGGAGTGCTGATTCATAGGGGCACATGTACCCCAATGTTCATAGCAGCATTCTCAACAATAGCCAAATTATGGAAAGTGCATAAATGTCCATCAATTGGTGAATGGATGAAGAAGGTGTGGTTTATGTATACAATGGAATAACTACTTGGCAGTGAGAAAGAATGAAATCCTACTACTTGCAGCAATGTGCATGGAACTGGAGGGTATTATGCTAAGTGAAATAAGTCAGAGAAAGACAGATATCATATATTTTCATTCATATGTGGAACTTGAGAAACCTAACAGAAGACCATGGGGGAAGGAAAGGGGAAAAATAGTTACAAAGATGGAGGGAGGCAAGCCATAAAAGACTCTTAAATACAGAGAACAAACTGAGGGTTGGGAGGGGCAGGAGGAGGAGGAAATGAGTAATGGGCACTGAGGAGGCACTTGTTGGAAGGCGCACTGGGTGTCGTATGTAAGCGATGAATCATGGGAATCTATCCCCAAAACAAGAGCACACTGTACACACTGTATGTTAGCCAACTTGACAATAAATCATATTTAAAAAAAGGAAACTGCTCTCAAAATTGCAATTCTGAGACTGCAAATAAAGGCTTTTGTTCTTTTTCAGTTTCACCTCCTTTTCTCAGTTGATATCTAGGTACTTTTCATAATCAGAATATGTAAGCATGCTATGATATTCAAATATCTCAAATATTCAGCTTAAAATTAATATGTCACATATTCAAAATGCATTTAACACCAACTCTACCATGTACTATTTATGGGCCCTTAAACAAGGAGCCTCACTTAGCTAATCCTAAGTTTTTAAAGACCATTATAGGGGTAAAATTATAGGTCCCACTTTGAGCATATTTCGATAATTAAACCAAATGCCATAAGTTTTTATCTTAGCATAGCATGCAGCACAAAATAGGAATTCAGTGTATGTTTGTTGAATACATGGAGATTGTAACAATTGCATTGAGCAATTTGGTCCATTGGGCTATGCATTTCGACACACTCAGCAAATTGTAGATGACTAAGAAACAAGACCTACATATAAATTTTTTGTCAGATCAAAACAGTAAGCAAGTTCAAACAGGCTGCTCCTGCACTACTTCCTTTTGTCTGCTTCCTCAGCGTGGGGAACAAAGACTGTGGATATAAAATGTGAGTCTCAAACAGCTCCATTCCAACAACTGAAACTTACAGTGAAGATTAGAGGAAGCGGAGGAAGATGTGATAGGAACAACTGAACTTTATGAAAGCAGGTCTCTGGTTTCTTAGCCTTGAATGAGCCACAGAACTTTTAACTCCAAATTAACAGCCATTGGATCCCGTTCAGGACTGGTTTTCAAAAACTGATGTACATTAAGAATCACCTGAAGAAATTGTCAAACCCAGATTCTAGGGGCACCCGGGTGGCTCAGTCAGGTAAGCATCCGACTCTTGATTTCGGCTCAGGTCATGATCTCACATTCATGGGTTGGAGCCCCAAATCGGGCTCTGGCTCTGCACTGACAGCACAGAGCATGCTTGAGTTTCTCTGTCTCCCTTTCTCTCTACCCTTCTCCCCCCCTCAAAAATAAATCAATTAAAAATTCCTATAACCCAGATTCTATACATTTAACAAATGGTACAGGTGACTCTGATGTTCCTGTGAAAAATAAACCAACAAACACCAGAGGGAAGCAGAGAGAGACAGACAGACTTGCCAAGACAGTTATTTTTAACTCATAAAGTCCAGCGACATGGGAACTGAATTTATTTCTCCATGGAGCCTTACCGGAACTCTCAATCTCAAGCTTTCTTAAGTATGACTAATAGAATGATTAGAAAGAAACTGTCTTTTTTAGATTATCATTGCCTAGAAGCTCCTTGATGGATACTGTGTTTTCCTATGAATTCTAATGCCTGCTACAGAGTCTGATAAGAATGGGGCGCCTGGGTGGCTTAGTCGGTTAAGCGTCCGACTTTCGCTTAGGTCATGATCCCGTGGTTTGTGGGTTCGAGCCCCGCGTCGGGCTCTGTGCTGGCTGCCAGCTCGGAGCCTGGAGCCTGTTTCAGTCTGTGACTCCCTCTCTCTCTGACCCTCCCCTGCTCACGCTGTCTCTCTCTCTCTCTCCTAGAAATAAATAAAACATTAAAAAAAAATTTAAAAGAATCAGTTAGGGAGGCTCCCGTGGGACTCGCTCCACTCCACTTGCAGCTGCCCTAGCTGACATTGGGAGCAGCACATCCAGGGAGACACTCTGCAGCTGCTACCGTTTTAAACGCATCCCCAACCCTAAAGCCAGCCACAGACTCCTGTGGGCCAGACAAAAGGCAAGCTGCCCTTCCTGCTCCTTCCTCCCCTGTCACTTTGAACCAGAAATCATGTCCTGAGTTCAAGACAGTATTGCATGTGAAAGATGTCCATACCTGCTCCACAGCACCACCGTCCAAGAAGAGTTCTCAGCTGCTTGCCGCTTCCTCACTGGATCCTTCACCTTTCTATCCCTGCTTTATAAAAGGTCTAACGAACTGAGGAAGTTGGACATTGCTACCATTTTAATCCTGTGTTAAAACTGAAATTGAAAGTAAAAGTGATTCAGGCACTAGGGCATGAATATGGATGTTTGGTGCATGATGAGACGGGATTAGAGAAACTCCACAGTTACTCAACAATCAGGCTTTTTAGTAAACACATTCCATCAGCTTCCTTTCCAAGATGTTTCCATCTTGAGGTGCTTTTCTGGCCTCCACTCTTCATAAGTCTCATTGGGCTTAAGTTTCCTCGGCACACAGGAAAACCAGAAAATTCATGGCACAAATGTAAGCAAAGCTGTATAAAGCAAGAGTATTTCAACTGTTTTTCTCTTAGTGGGAATTCCTGGGTTCTTTTGTTAGTGGAGAGCTTTTAACATTCTAAATATATTCCCTCATATATACTGCCCATGCAAAATGAACAAATCTTTTAGAATTTCTTTTCTTGACTAATATATTTTACTTCTACTTTTTTTTTCATTTTAGTTCCAGTGTAATAAACATACAGTGTTGTATTAGTTTTGATGTAGTGATTCATCAGATCCATATTTTACTCAGTGCTTATCACAGCAAGTATATTCTTTATCACCTTCACCTCTTGTACAAAATCCCTACCCACCTCTCCTCTGGTAACCATCAGTTTGTTCTCTGTAGTTAAGAGTCTGCTTTTTGGTTTGTCTCTTTTTTTCTTTGTTTGTTTTCTTTCTTAAGTTCCACATATGAGTGAAAACATATGGTATTTGTCATTTTCTGGTTTATTTCACTTAGCATTATATTCTCTAGATGCATACATGTTGTTGCAAATGGCAGAATTTCATTTTTTAATGGCTGAATAATATTCTGTTCTATATATATATATAGACCACGTCTTCTTTATCCATTCATCTATCCATCTATCCATGGACACTTGGGCTGCTTCCATAGTTTGGCTACTGTAAACAATGCTGCAATAAACATAGAGGTGCATGTATCCTTTTGATTTAGTATTCTCCTATTCTTTGGGTAAATACCCAGTAGTGCAATTACTGCATCATATGGTAATTCTAGTTTTACCTTAAAAATTTTTTAGGGATGCCTGGGTGGCTCAGTAGGTTAAGCGTCCTATTTCGGCTCAGGTCATGATTTCACGGTTTGTGGGTTCGAGCCCCATGTCGGAATCTGTGCTGACAGCCAGCTCAGAGCCTGGAGCCTGTTTCAGATTCTGTGTCCCCCACTCTCTCTGAGCACAGCTCATGCTGTGTCTCTCTCAGAAATAAATAAGACATTAAAAAATTAAAAAAAAATTTTTTTTAGTGTCTATGTTTGAGCGAGAGAGAAAAAGAGAGTACAAGCAGGAAAGGGGCAGAGGAGAGACTGAGACACAGGATCTGAAGCAGGCTCCAGGCTCTGAGCTGTCAGCACGGAGCCTGACATAGACTCGAACCCACAAACTGGGAGATTGTGACCTGAGCCAAAGTTGGACATTTAAACAACTGAGCCACCCAGGCACCTCTCTAGTTTTAACTCTTTAAGGAATGTCCATGCATTCTACTTGTTTGCATTCCCACCAACAGCATAAGAATTCCTTTTTCCTCCAAGTCCTCACCGACTTGTTTGTTTGTGTATTATCCATTCTGACAGGTGTGAGGTGATAATTCATTGTGGTTTGATTTGCATTTCTCTGATGATGAGTGATGTTGAGCACCTTTCCATGTGTCTACTGGCCATCTGTATATCTTCTTTGGAGAAATGTCTGTCCATGTAATCTTCCAATTTTTTAATTGGATTATGTTTGGGGGATATTGAGTTCTATAAGTTCTTTATGTATTTTGGATACTCTTTATAGGATATATATCATTTGCAAATATTTTCCACCATTCAGTAGGTTGTCCTTTAGTTATGTTTTTTTGTTTTCTCTGCTGTGAAGAAGCTTTTTATTTTGATGCAGTCCCAATACTTCTTTTTGCTTTTGTTTCCCTTGCATTAGAGAGACATCTAGAAAGGTGTTGCTACGGCCAGTGTCAGAGAAATTACTGCCTATGTTCTCTCCTAGGATTTTTATGCTTTCAGGTCTCACATTTAGGTCCATAAGTCCATTTTGAGTTTATTTTTGTATATAATATAAGAAAGTGGTCCAGTTTCATTCTTTTGTTACTGTCTAGTTTCCCCAGCACCATTTGTTGAAGAGACCGTCTTTTTCCCATTGCATTTTCTTGCCTCTTCTGTTGAAGATCAATTGACCATGTAATAGTGGGTTTATTTCTGGACTCCCTATTCTGTTCTATTGATGGAAGTGTCTTCTTTTTTTTGTGCCAGTACTATACTGTTTTGATTACTACAGCTTTGAAATATAACTTGAAATGTAGAATTGTGATACCTCCAGCTTTTTTTTTTCTTCAAGATTGCCTTGGCTATTCAGCGTCTTTTGTGGTTCCATAAAAATTTTAGGATTATTTGTTCTAGGACTGTGAAAAATGCTGTTGGTATTTTGATAGAGATTTCATTAAATGTGTAGATTGCTTTGGGTGGTATAGACTTTTTTAAAAATATTTTTATTTATTTCTAGGAAAGAGAGAGAGAGACAGCACGAGCAGGGGAGGGTCAGAGAGAGAGGGAGATACAGACTCCGAAATAGCCTCCAGGCTCTAAGCTGGCAGTCAGCACAGAGCCCGACGCGGGTCTCGAACCCACGAACCGTGAGATCATGACCTAAGCGAAAGTCGGACGCTTAACTGACTAAGCCACCCAGGCGCCCCTGGGTAGTATAGACATTTTAACAATATTTGTTCTTCCAATCCATAAGCATGGAGCTTTTTCCCATTTGTTTGTCTTGTCTTCAATTTCTTTCATCCATGTTTTATAGTTTTCAGAATACAGATCTTTCACCTCCTTGGTTAAGTATATTCCTAGATATTTTATTCTTTTTGGTGCAGTTGTAAATGGGATTGTTGTTTCTTTTTAATTTCTCTTTTTGCTGCTTCATTATAAGTCTATAGAAATGCAACAGATTACTGTAGATGGATTTCATATCATGTGATATTACTGAATTCATTTATCAGTCTAGTAGTTTTGCAGTCAAGTCTTTCGGGTTTTCTATATATAATATCATGTCATCTGTGAAAAGTTAAAGTTTTACTTCTTCCTTAGCAGTCTGAATGCCTTTTATTCCTTTCTCTTGTCTGATTGCTGTGGCTAGGGCTTCCAGTACTGTGTTAAATAAAAAGTCAACATGCTTGTCTTGTTCCTGACTTTAGGGGAAGATCTCTTAGTTTTTTACCATGGAGTATGATTTTAGCTGTGGGTTTTTCATACAAGGCCTTTATTATGTTGAGGTAGCTCCCTCAAAATCTACATTGTTGAGACTTTTTTTTTATCATGAACGGATGTACATTATCAAATGCTTTTTCTGCATCTATCGAAATGATTATATGGTCCTTATCCTTTCTCTTATTGATGAGATGTATCACATTCATTGATTTGCAAATATTCAACCACCCTGGCAACCCAGGAATAAATCCCACTTGATTGTGGTGAATGATTTTTTTTCAGGTATTGTTGGATGTGGTTTGATAATATTTTGTTCAGGATTTTTGCATCTATGTTCATCAGAGATATTGGCCTGTAGTTCTCTTTTTTGTGGTGTCTTTATCTGGATTTGGTTATTAGGGTAATGCTGGCCACATAACATGAATGTGGAAGGTTTCCTCCCTCTTCTATTGTTTGGAATAGCTTGGGAAGAATTGGTATTAACTCTTCTTTAAATGTTTGGTAGATTTCACCTGTAAAGCCATTTGGTCCTGGACCTTTGTTTGTTGGGAATTTTTTGATTATTGATTCAATTTCATTGCTGACAATCTGCTCATATCTTCTATTTCTTCCTAATTCAGTTGTGGGACATTATGTGTTGCTAGGAATTTATCCATTTCTTCTAGATTGTCCAACTTTTAGCACGTAATTTTTCATAGTATTCTGTTATAATTGTTTGTATTTCCATGGTTTCAGTTGTTGTTTGTACTCATTTCAGATTTTGCTTATTTGTGTCAAAAATTTGATGGCTCTGGTTAGAGGTTTATCAATCTTGTTGATCTTTTCAAAGAACAAGCTCTTGGTTTCATTGATATATTCTTTTATTTTTTTTTGTCTTTATTTCATTTATTTCTGCTCTAATCTTTATTATTTCCTTACTTCTACTGGTTTTGGGTTTCACTTGTTCTTTTTCTATCTCTTTTATGTGTAAGCTTAGGTTGTTTATTTAGTATTTTTCTTCCTTCTTGAGGTAGGCCTGTATTGCTATAAATTTCCCTCTCAGAAAAACTTTTGCTGCATTCTAAAGATTTTGGACTGTTTTCGTTTTCATTTCTCTCCATGTATCTTTTGTTTCTTTTTTGATTTCTTGGTATGTAACATGTTAATTAACCTGAGTATTTGTGCTGTGTCCAGATTTTTTCCTGTCACTGATTTCTAATTTCATATTGTTGTGGTCAGAAAGGTGTATAGTCTGACTTCGATCTTTTTGAGTTTGTTGAGATTACTTTATGGGCTATTTTGTGACCTATTCTGGAGAATGTTCTGTGTGAACTGGAAAAGAATGTGTATGCTTCTGTTTTAAGCTGGAATGTTCTGAATATATCTGTTAAATCCATCTGGTCCAATGTGTCATTCAAAGCAACTATATCCTTGGTAATTTTCTGTCTGGATGATCTGTCCACTGATATAGGCAGTTATTAAAGTCCTCTACTATTATTATATTACTATTAATTAGTTTATGTTTGTTATTAACTGCTGTATGTACTTGGGTGCTTCCATCTGGGGTGCATAAACACTTATGATTGGAGTGTCCCCTTTATGATTATGTAGTGTTCTTCTCTGTCTCTTGTTACAGTCTTCATTTTACAGTCTATTTTGTCTGCTGGAAGTATTGCTACCCTGACTTTCTTTAGGTCTGAAATCAGTCTCTTGTTGGCAACATTTAGATGGGTCTTGTTTTTTTCTCCATTCTGTCATCCTATATCTTTTGATCAGAGAGTTGAGTCCATTTACA